TTTAAGCTACCACCTCTCTCAGTATACGCTTACGTCTAGCCGGGAGAAGTGTTAACTGTGGAAGCACTGAATATTCTGAGGTCTGAGGTCGTGGCGACCCCAGACATCAAGTAGTATGGGGGGGGCGAGTGCAGTTGCAGCCAGACCGGCGACCAATCAGCGGAGCCGGTAGTAAGACAGGTAGTTTGGCGGTTTGAGTCTGAGCAGGTGTCCCTGGCTGCATACGTTTTGCGCTCTGGCAAACCTTGCTGGTGTTGTTGTCGTTGTTGGACATTTCTTCCATAGTAGTTTTATATAATTTTAACGACGTAATTGTGGAGGGAAGAGCAGGCTCAATCTCTTGAAGGAGATTATCGTCACAATATATATATATATTATATAATATATTATATTATATATATATATATTATATTATATATATATATGTCGTACCTAGTAGCCAGAACGCACTTCTCAGCCTACTATGCAAGGCCCGATTTGCCTAATAAGTCAAGTTTTCATGAATTAATATATTTTCTCTAATTTTTTTCTTATGAAATGATAAAGCTACCCATTTCATTATGTATGAGGTCAATTTTTTTTATTGGAGTTAAAATTAACGTAGATATATGACCGAACCTAACCAACCCTACCTAACCTAACCTAACCTATCTTTATAGATTAGGTTAGGTTAGGTAGCCGAAAAAGTTAGGTTAGGTTAGGTTAGGTAGGTTAGGTAGTCGAAAAAACATTAATTCATGAAAACTTGGCCTATTAGGCAAATCGGGCCTTGCATAGTAGGCTGAGAAGTGCGTTCTGGCTACTAGGTACGACATATATATATATATATATATATATATATATATATATATATATATATATATATATATATATATATATATATATATATATATATATATGTATATATATATGTATATATATATATATATATATATATATATATATGTATATATATATATATATATATATGTATATATATATATATATATATATATATATATATATATATATATATATATATATATATATATATGTATATATATATATATGTATATATATATATATGTATATATATATATATATATATATATATGTATATATATATATATGTCGTACCTAGTAGCCAGAACTCACTTCTCAGCCTACTATTCAAGGCCTGATTTGCCTAATAAGCCAAGTTTTCCTGAATTAATATATTTACTATAATTTTTTTCTTATGAAATGATAAAGCAACCCTTTTCTCTATGTATGAGGTCAATTTTTTTTATTGGAGTTAAAATTAACGTAGATATATGACCGAACCTAACCAACCCTACCTAACCTAACCTAACCTATATTTATAGGTAAGGTTAGGTTAGGTAGCCAAAAAAAGCTAGGTTAGGTTAGGTTAGGTAGGTTAGGTAGACGAAAAAACATTAATTCATGAAAACTTGGCTTATTAGGCAAATCGGGCCTTGAATAGTAGGCTGAGAAGTGCGTTCTGGCTATTAGGTACGACATATATATATATATGTATGTATATATATATATATATATATATATATATATATATATATATATATATATATATATGTATATATATATATATATGTATATATATATATATATATATATATATATATATATATATATATATATATATATCGTACCTAGTAGCCAGAACGCAATTCTCAGCCAACTATGCAAGGCCCGATTTGCCTAATAAGCCAAGATTTCATGAATTAATATATTTTCTCTAATTTTTTTCTTATGAAATTATAAAGCTACCCATTCCATTATGTATGAGGTAAAAAAAAATTTACTGGAGTTAAAATTAACGTAGATATATGACCAAACCTAACCAACCCTACCTAACCTATTTTTATAGGTTAGGTTAGGTTAGGTAGCCGAAAAAGTTAGGTTAGGTTAGGTTAGGTTAGGTTAGGTTAGGTTAGGTAGGTTAGGTAGTCGAAAAACAATTAATTCATGAAAACTTGGCTTATTAGGCAAATCTGGCCTTGCATAGTAGGCTGAGAAGTGCGTTCTGGCTACTAGGTACGACATATATATATATATATATATATATATATATATATATATATATATATATATATATATATATATATATATATATATATATATATATATATATATATATATATATATATATAAGAACAAATCTTTGAATAAGTGTGTCTTGGGAAACGGCCGCAGCTTTCAGGAGCTCGGTCTGGACAGGGTGTGTATAGCGTCTTGCATTTATAAACGGGAAGGGGGGGGGGTTGGCAGCTGCATGGAATGAACGTTTGGCCTGTGTTTATGAGGACGGGTTGTCTGGTACACAGGAAGTGAGAAAAAGACACTTCGATAAACTTTAAGAGTATAATCATACGTATTACCTTTACCTTTTATAGTGAATCATACGTAAAATGTTTTCTCATAACAGAGGGACTTAATTAACAAATATTTAACCAATGTTTTGATTCATAAAACACAACTCAGAAACCCCCTCATAAAAAAAACACCTCGTGAAGCTTCATAACAAATGAAAAAAAAAAAACTTCATCGCACACAACTCTGAAAACTTCACAACACATCTCGGGGCAAAACAATATTTTCTAATTTAATTAAACGTTCGTGAGCAAAGAGTATTTTTGCATTTGTTCTTATTTTTTTTATCTGAGGAGTTGTGAAGCCTCGACATCAAATCCGCACCGCTGCAAGTCGACGGTTCTAGGGTATCAGGCTTTTGAATACTCGAGTCTGAAGTCTTGCGTTTTAAAACTTAGAACTGAAATAGGAGGCTCAAGTTCTGGAGCAATCGACTTTATGACGAATTTTCTTGTGCGTCTCGCAGGTAAATGGGAAGAGAAGGGAACTATGAGGAGAAAGCGCCAAGCCTTTACGACTATATAGCACTGTGAAGGAGGTCAGGATAAGGATTTGGGATAGGACGGGGAGAGGAAGGAATGGTGCCCAACCACTTGGACGGTCGGGGATAGAACGGGGAGGAAGGGATGGTTCCCAACTACTTGGACAGTCGGGGGATAGAACGCCGACCTGCATGAAGGGAGACCGTCGCTCTACCGTCCAGCCCAAGTGATTGGGCCCTCGACGCTGTTTTTTTATGTGTTCGCTCTTAAGTTAGATTACGAGGTACTGTAGTGTACTTGAGGCGCCCTCAGGCGGCGGTGAGGGGGAACCTGAGTACTGGGTGTATCTCCCGGAGGGGGGAACAGGTTGGGCTCATCACCCGAGTGCTTCACTCTCTTGTCATTGTTGGTGACGTGTGCTACACGTCCCTCCAGTAACTCGCGCAGTAATTGGCGGATTGAAATGGAAACACCTGGCTGTTATCCAAGCACAAATAGAAGCTAGTTTTAATCATTGACATTCAGCTGGGGATTGTGTGGGTATTTGTGTATGAAGCTTAATTGTTCGGCGTGTCAGTGATTTTTGGGGGGAGAGAGAGAGAGAGAGAGAGAGAGAGAGAGAGAGAGAGAGAGAGAGAGAGAGAGAGAGAGAGAGAGAGAGAGAGAGAGAGAGAGAGAGAGAGCAATAAAAAACTTGTTCACAAATTAGGTTCTTGTTAGTTTGAAGGCAGAGTCCCTCCAGCACCGACACCTGCTGCATGATAAGCGGGACAAGTCACGCCCACTCAGCAGGACGGGGTTGAGTAGAGCGAGGTGCCGGTCAAAGGTCATTTAGCGATGAAGCTGGTGACCTGTGTAACAGTACCAACGGTAATCCTGCCACAACACGCCCCCTCCAGTGTCATGGCTACCACCACGTCTCACCACCATCACAGCTCTTCCCACCACACCTCAACCACCACCCCCCCCCACCACAACCACCACCCCCACCCCCCACCCCCCACAGTAAACCCTCTTCGCCTACTTGAACATCAATTTTCCCCGTGTTACATGTCCTTCGTTAATTTCCTGGAGGTAATATAATAATCCCGTCCGGTGGGGAAAAGCCATTAGTTCTACCCTAAAAAAGGACTTTACCCATTTCTGTTTATAGAAGGTTTGGCTTGTGTGTTTTTTTGACATTAGCAGAGTCAGGGGCCATTGTAGCAGTGCCAGGGCCACTGTAGCAATGCCAGGGTCACTGTAGCAGTGCCAGGGCCACTGTAGCAGTGACAGGGCCACTGTAGCAGTGACAGGGCCACTGTAGCAGTGCCAAGGGCCACTGTGGCAGTGCCAGGGCCACTGTAGCAGTGCCAGGGCCACTGTAGCAGTGACAGGGCCACTGTAGCAGTGACAGGGCCACTGTAGCAGTGCCAAGGGCCACTGTGGCAGTGCCAGGGCCACTGTAGCAGTGCCAGGGCCACTGTAGCAGTGCCAGGGCCACTGTAGCAGTGCCAGGGCCACTGTAGCAGTGACAGGGCCACTGTAGCAGTGACAGGGCCACTGTAGCAGTGCCAGGGCCACTGTAGCAGTGCCAGGGCCACTGTAGCAGTGCCAGGGCCACTGTAGCAGTGACAGGGCCACTGTAGCAGTGCCAGGGCCACTGTAGCAGTGCCAGATGCCACTATAACAGTGCCAGGAGCCACTATAGCAGTGCCAGGAGTTTACAATACCAATTAAGTGCACATCAGAGGTAGAGTGTGCTTAGTAAACAATGACCTGTTACTAAGGTGCTTTATAAACTACTAATGATGTGCCGAGCATCAAGAGTGTAATTTACTGCAGCAATTTGCGTCGGTAATAATACGTCCTCCAAAAATTTTGCGTCCTCCAAAAATTTACGTTTACTCTAAGTGCAACAAATAGTAGCGCCTCACGAAATTGAAGTGATATCCCGTTTTCTGTTCGTGTGTCCTCGGGTTTGATTAGGTTCGGGCACTTTAGTTTATCAAATATATCTCTATTCTCTCACACACACACACACACACACACACACACACACACACACACACACACACACACACACACACACACACACACACACACACACACACACACACACACACACACACACACACACACACTTGCTCAAGTCTCTACCTCCTGCAGATGTCGCGTGATCGAGTGCTCAGCCAAGGAGAACCTCCACATCAAGGACATCTTCCGAACATTCCTGCAAATCGGGAAGGTGCCCCAAGGAGACGAGACCAACCTCAAGCGACAGTCCTCCGCCTACACCAAGTCCAGGAACCAGCGCCGCAGCCAGACCCCTCCTAGAGAGCGCGACGCCATCCCAGAGGTAAGAGAGGGGGATATGCTCCCTTTGGGACAAATAGGCAGGGCAAGAAGGGTGCTTCCTTTGGGGGGAGGGCAGACAGGCAGGACACGGGAGAGGACGAAATGCTTTGCGCTCTCTCTCTCTCTTCTTCTCTTGTATTCCTCTCTTCTGTTGCTGAGGAAGGACTGGGCGATGTTCGAGGGTGAAGCACTGTTCCTGAGGTAGGTGAGGAGAGCCTAGGGGGGGTGGTGTTCCTGGAGCAGGCAGAAGCGAGTCTTTGTCATGTCTTCAGCTTATATTATGCTACCGAGACCAACTGCACGCCATGTACAGTTCACTACAGAACCATAGGTACTGTCAATATTATATTTTTCTTGCGGAGGACTGTGCCTGAGAGTGACAGGGTGGTGTTGACGATAGTAGAGGAGGGGGGGGAAGAGAAAAGGAAGGCTGGGGAAGAGGAGAGATTGGTGAGAGGGAGGGAGGAACGGAGAGAGAGAGAAAGGGGGAGTTCACGGGTGTAACAGATAACAGGAGACCTATTGGTCTATAACGGGGCTATCTGTTCGGGATAGGGGGATACGGCTTCTCTACTGTACTCGCTATCTCGCCCCAGATCGCCATGTCAAGAGCACAAAGGTCTCGCTTACTCTCGTCTCTGTCAAGCCACTGGGGGGTAGGAAGCGTCGTCGAGAGCAAGTTGGCAGTTTTCTTAATCTTGTAGTAAACTAAGCATATCTATCCATTGGTGGCAGCGGTGTTATTTTCTATCAATTATGTCTCGAGCTTATTTTCCTTTTTTGTTTTTGCGAGCCGTAGACAAGTAGCTGCTGTACCAGTTGTATAGCAGGGACAGGTATAGCTGGGGACAGGTATACCTGGGACATATATAGCTTGGACAGTTATAGCTGGGGACAGGTATAGCTGGGACAGGACTATAGTAAGATTGATTGATGAAGATTAAGCCACCCAAAAGGTGGCACGGGCATGAATAGCCCGGAAGTGGTGGCCCTTTAGAGCCATTACCAGTATCAAGAGCTGATACTGGAGATCTGTGGAGGTGCGACTGCACCCTGCGTGACGGGAGATGTCTCCCCCGTGGATGAGAGAAGTTGTTGTTGTTGTTGTTATAGATTCAGCTACTGGGAACAAAACGTTCCAAGTAGCACGGGCTATGGTGAGCCCGTAGTGGACTTACCTGGCACAGGGGCGGGGCTGTAACAGGACTATAGTATTGGTGACAACATCGGTGGCGCCTCTCCTTCCTATAAAATAATTCCTGCCTCATTTATTTATATCACATCATAAATTCATATGCATTTATTTATTTATAAATTCACATCATTTATTTATATATGCATTATATAATTAATTGAATTTATTTCCTGACACAAACTTAAAAGATAAGCCGATTAGTGACAAATTGGGAGCATATTGTTGCATCAAAACTCGAAGCTGTGGCAGACATAATGTAGAGGTGAGGCCTTAACCTGTTGGGCAGTGGGCCGCCGTCCTCGTCTCTCCCGTCACTAACATCCTAGACATATTTCTCCGCCATGAATAACGAGACTTTCACCCTGGAAACACAAACCGAAACTGTCTCTATTTTCCGCTTGTTACAACTTGTAATAAAGTTGTTATATCTTGGCTTAATGTGTTTATGACGTATTAGAATGTTGTTACAACTTGCTATATTGGTTGTTATAACTGGTTAGAAAGTGTTAAAACTTGTTCGAACGTTGTACCAACGTCGTAGTTTCTGTGTGTGTTTGGCGGGCAATCTGTCTAAATTAATACTAGCTGGGGTACCCAGGGGTGCCCGGGTCGACCGGGCACCCCTGAACTGTCTCCCTCTCCGGGGGGGAGAGGGAGACAGGGAGAAGGGAGCCGGTCGGCCGAGCGGACAGCACGCTGGACTTGTGATCCTGTGGTCCCGGGTTCGATCCCGGGCGCCGGCGAGAAACAATGGGTAGAGTTTCTTTCACCCTATGCCTCTGTTACCTAGCAGTAAAATAGGTACCTGGGTGTTAGTCAGCTGTCACGGGCTGCTTCCTGGGGGTGGAGGCGTGGTCGAGGACCGGACCGCGGGGACACTAAAAAAAAAAAAAGCCCCGAAATCATCTCAAGATAACCTCTCTTGTGATATCACAAAGTCTCAAGGATAAAAAAAACATGGCATTCACAATTGCGCCAGTTTATTAATGAGTAAGGATAATGAGTAGATTTTCATTTAATTTGCTATCATCATTGCATAATGTGTGAAAATATATTATTTTTTTTTAAGACAGAATGCTAGATCAAGAATTGTCATGGGGTTCACTACAGTACCGTGCAAACTTTGTACTTGCATGAATGGTGCCGATCACGACCCGCCCATGTCGAGCACGCATCCCACTGCAATCACCGTGAAAATTGTGAGAGGCTAACCCCAAGCGTCTAGTCTCCAACCTCGGGAACAGACTAATATATTTTACATATTTAGAGATATCTTCAACGTGTTCAGCGGAACACACAAGTATCAAACCCCTTACAATATTTTCCCCCGCTAAACAGACAACGATAACACTACAAGAACGCCGTTTAATATATCAATTAAATAAAATAAAACAGTCGGAACAAAAAATGGTGAAAACATATTTCGATATACTGTAAGAAATGTGCCAAAAGTAAACTCAAAGCGAAATCAAAATATATGGAAAAATTCATTTGCAATAGAGATAAAAACACTGAACATTAAAAAAAAATTGAAATATACCCGATATATATATTTGTGATGGGGGACATGTACAAAAATATCACTCGTCTGTTTTTCCAGGCTTAGTATTCTTTATCCATAACCTTGTTGCACGGAACCTCTCCCAAGTTTAGCCAGGACTAAACAAGAACACAAAATTAAAATAGTTTTCCCTCCATCTAATTATATAATAATCAAACAAAGCGGTCTGATTATTAACTATATTGTTGAGTTAATGATGTGGTCACTTCTTCAGCTTAGGCCTAATCTGCCTAACCTAATCACTTTTGGGTCTTTGTTTGGAGGACGGGCTGTTACACACGACTCACAACCGATTGCGTTCGAACACTTCCGGAACAAGTGCTTCACTGACGAATTTTGTTCGAACCACAACGCTGTAAATGCTTCATCCACGTACTATAAATACAAATAATCGCCAATAGAACGTAAACACCTAATCAGTGCCTAAATATGCACAATATGCTAATATAAAATATTAATTTATATTTCATAAAATGCCTATTTTGAATGAATAGCATGTTAAAATTTATGAATGCGTCTTTGGGGTCGACCGCTGGATGGAATGGACTTGGTCCGAGGACTGGTTGCTTCTTAACTGCGTTGAAGGTAATTTATAGGCAGCCTCTCAGTAGACGTGGCACTTCTCTGGTTCACACACAACGTTGTGTGATACTTCGTCTCTGATGCTAGACGATCACAATGGTGCTCTGTCTCAGTCTGTTGCTTCTGGACATACCTCGTGGTCTCTCTACCGTTCTCTTAATTTGCCAAGAATAACACTGCAACGCTATTCCAAGCATTCGCCGAATATTTACGGTGAATAAGGCGATGCTGTTGTCGGAGTAGGAGTTGTTGTTGATAAGGAGTAGGCTGTTGTTTAACTTGATAGTCTAAGAACTCTGATGACGAATTTCTACTTATTGGCCACTAGGCAAAAGAGGACACGCCAGCTTGTACAGTGTTCTAGACGGGCCTGCTGGCCTCTTGTGACCAGCAGGCTCTTGGCGGCATTTATCCTTTGTTTCTAGGAGTAGCCAATTAGAGATCGGTTAGCCTGGTAGAGTCTCGGCTGCTATAGGCTCATCCAAGGTGACGTAGGTCATAACATCATGGCTTGGGTCAACCGTTGGGTATGACCTGACCTGCTAATCTTTCGTTATGGCCCGAGGCAGAAAGTTCACGTCTGTAGCTTTTCAAGATGGCCGACATCTGGTGTTGGCTTATTACAATGGAAATGCTGCGCTTGTGCTGTCTGATCAGCTACTGGACATACGATGGCCATCGCAGCATCGTTATGCTCTTAGAAATATGGGCTCTAGAGACCAACCAAACTAGGTTTTAGTGCAGTACTATTTGAGATTAGCTTGTGCACTCACTCTGTGCACTGTGAAGCGCACATGGGTAGATTTCCAGACTCATGTACACTGCAGTTGTGCTGCCATGAGCCACTAAGTCGGCTGTGGACAACCTGAGAGACGATCACAACGGTGGAGCTCTCACGCTGTGCTCAGAGGTCACCTAGCTAAAGCTTGGTGTAGAGACCGTAGCTTTAAGTCGTGATGGCCCCCCAAGCGTGGCCAAGGGCCGCCTTGCTCCCCCGCACTCATTAGCCGCCTCTCACAAGTTACAGCAAAGGCTAGCCCAGGAGACCCAACTCTCTGGCGCCCTCAACTTGATGCACATTCTAATTTCACTTTCCTGAGAGAAACGCAGTAGAGACTTTCATGTTTCTCAGCTTTGTCAAAGTTAACAATTAAAATATTTCAAATTATACATATAAATGTGATTTTGAGCCTGTGCTTACAGTGCCGAAACCCTCTGCTCCCGAGAGAATCTGTGTCCTATCCTATTACCTCCTAGATAACATTCCTTATTGGACAATTATAATTCAGTATGGTGCACAGGTGACTTGCCAGCCGACTTGACGGTGGCCATCACACACACACAGAGATCACACTAACGTGATGCATCAAATGAACAATGGTGGCCATCATTCTTTTCAGACCATGTCAAGAAGTTGGAGCAGGTCACGTGCCACAGAACAAACAGCTGCAGACAAGCGAACATATGGGATTTAGAGTCAACTTCCAAACTGCACGTCAGTCGCATACCACAGTATTCGTTCAAGCATCTGAACTACCAAATGATGGTCCAAAAATATAACAATTGTGATTGGCAGGTTAAGAGCGTGTGGCTACAGCCATAAAACACTGTTCACCCTTTCGTACCTTAATCTGAAATATTCAACAATAGCTTGGTCATATAT